CAGGAAGGAGTGTGCGCCGATCCCGGTGCGCCAGGCCTGGCCTGGAGCGGTGGTCGGTGGGCAACTCGCGCCCCTCGATCTTCCTCCTCCTCCTCCTTCTTCTCTTCCACCTCCTCCTCCTCTTCCTGCTCCTCCTGCTCCTCCCCTCCCTCCTCTCTCCTCCTCTCCTCCTCCTCCTCCTTCCTCCTCCTCCTCCTCCTCCTCCTCCTCTCCTTCCTCCTCCTCTTCCTGTTCACCCCGCTCCTCCTTCTCCTCCTCCTGCTCTTCCTTCTCCTTCTCCTTCTCCTCCTCCTCCTCCTCCTTCTCCTCCTCCGCCTCAATTCAACAGAAAACCGTGTCTTTCCATTGCTTGCATGGGTCAAGGGACGCTTCCCGCCCCCCCGACCTAGGCCCATCTTCTTTAGACGTGGCAGGCCGCCCTTCGCGTAAGGCGCTCGCTTCCAATGGTGGTCGGTGATCTCGACGGTGGTTGGCCCCTTGACCACGGGCACGTAGCGATGCTGCAAGTGCAGTGGGACCGTGGGCATTCGTGGAATGTTCTGCCAATCCACGTTCCCCCATTTCAGCGGGCGCATCAGAGGAGGTGGTTTGTTGTACCACCGACCCAGAGGATCCCACCTGAGCAAGCGGTGCACCTTGTACGCAATGTTTCGGTTCATGGTGGCTGAAGCCGCGAGCACCTGCAGATCTCTGCGGCGCGAGTAGGCTAACTGACGCTTCATGAACCATTCGATCTTCCCAGTGTTGTGTTCCCTCAATACGTTGTCCATCACGGTCTTCTTCTCGTTGTACACCTTGCGTTTGCGGTGCTTGGCCCATTCAGAACCGAATATCTTAGGCGCGGTCGTGTACTCATCCACTTCGTCCAAAACGACTGCTCGAAGCTTTGTGTTGAGTTCTTTGATGATGTCGTCTTCCTTGTGCAGCACACCACCCAATTCCCCCGGAGTGCCAATGATGATGTTAGCTCTCCTGATCTGCTCCACCGCCGGCAGATTACCAATGATCACGAGTGTTGCGATACCCTGGCCTTGAGGGTAGAACCCAAGCTTGTCAATTTCAGAATAAATCTGCACTGCTAGCTCGCGGTAGGCCGCGACAATGATTATCTTGTCTCCCTCGACACCCCACTCGGACTCCTCGGACATCGCAGCCAACAGTGGCAGAACCATTGCTAGGGTCTTCCCAGTTCCAGTCTGGCTTTGCAAGCACATGCTTTCGCCACGATGTATGCGGCTGAACACAGCTTCCTGGATGGGGGACGCCTGCTGAACCCCTGCCTTCGCTAAGCTTCTGACCACACGCCCTGGCAAAGGTAGATGCTCAGACAATGGGCTCAACTCATCGTCTTCGTAATCCGCCAGCACCGCTGTGGTGTCAAAGACGTGCTGCGGACAATGATGTTTAGATGCAGGTGCTTGCGCACATGTATGAAAATGCAGGACCACACCAGACCGTACCAAGTCACTACAGGCGAGACGAGACAAGACAGAAGCAGACACCGACAGACAAGGCAAGACACGACAAAGCATGGCGGAGGACACGCCAACTCATGATCAGGCACGGCAACACGATGCACAGCGGGGCAACAAGATGCAGGAAATAGCACACACACACTGCCCGACGCTCGCCTCCCTCCCACCGCTTCGACGCCCACCCCGTGAGCGAGGGGTGTGCGCAAGAGCCTCAGATGGAGGAGCAGGATGGGGGAGAACGAGGGCGCACCAGAGAGGGGGAAGCAAGAGCTGGGGGAACGGGCGGGAGAGCCCGACGGGTCCCGGTCAGCTCTTCTCCCTGAGCAGGCCCCCCCCTCTTGACGCCACCCCCGACAAAAACGAAGGGGAGGATGGAGCACCAGGGCGGACCACTACCCGGCCGATGCCCCTGGGTGTGCGTCCTGAGTCCCCGTCCTTGCCCCACGGCCCCCGTCGACGAGGGAGGTGTGGGGGGTCTGATTCCCTCCCGCCTGTCAGAAGACTCCCCCGTACGATCAGGCCCCAGAGAGATCACAGAAAAGAGAAGATCTCACAAGACTCGTCAACCCTTTCCAGACTCGCAAGCTAACTGCATGTAACTTGATATTCTCAGTCGCGTGTGAGGGCGCGCGTTCTTCAATGCTGGAGGCGGGTGACGGATTTCGGGCACCTCATCGCGCAAGCCAAATGTTTGGTACCATCGTTGGAGTGGTGCTGTCCCTGCATCTATGGATTGTAATAACTCTCTGATGACTTGTGGCGATAGTTGTAAAACTAGGACCCCTGTTCATACGGCTTGCGGCTTCAGTCTTCGGGCACGGGGCTGGATACTCGAGCTTTGTGCCTTAGACCTGGGGGCGAATCCCATCAGCCCTGTGGGCGTAGGTGGTCTAGGGCGCTTCCTCTTCCCCTTCGGGGAGGGGTTTACCCCTCCCCCTACCCCCTCCCTGGACCTGGACGGGGGGGCCGCGACGCGTTGGAGCGTCCAAAACGGCCTCGGCGAGGAAGCCAAAATCATTGGTTTGGTTTTGGCCCCATTTTGGCCTCTTGGGGGGGGACGCCAATTAAAGCTCCCCTCTTGCTAGATCGATGTCCTCCAAGATGGTCCCAAGAGCGCTCCCAAGGCTCCCAAGAACGCTTCAAGAGGGTCCCAAGAGGCGCCCGGGAGGCCCCAGGAGGCCCCCAGAGGCGCCCGATAGGCCTCCAAGAGGCTCCCAAGAGACTCACAAGAGGCCCCAAGAAGCTCCCCGAGACACCCCAGGCCTCTGGAACCGCCACGAGGCCCCCAAGACGTTCCAAGAGGCCTCCACTGGGGAACCCTTCCTCTGCGTGCTGCCCACTTCCCTGATCGAGGCAGTTCCTCTGGGCATCGTTTCTGGATGGGCTGGTGTTTTTTCCCAAGCATCCTGTGGTGTTGGATCCTCGCTTTGAGGAGACAGGGCCCCGCGTCTCACTCCTCCTCCTCCTCCTCCTCTCCTCCCTCCTCCTCCTCTCCCTCCTCCTTCCCCCTCCTCTCTCCTCCCGTCACCCTCAATTTGGCGCACCCCTCACACGTTTCGTGGCCCCATACGGCGCTCCACCTAAGGTCCCAGTGGTGCAGTTCGCATGGCGGCGCCACCTCATCTTGGCACACCCCTCACACGTTTCGTCGCCCCATAGGGAGCTCCACTTAAGGTCCCAATGGTGCAGTTCGCATGGACGCGCCGCCCCATTTTGGCGCACACCTCACACGCTTCGTGGCCCCATAGGGAGCTCCATCTAAGGTCCCAGTGGTGCAGTTCGCATGGCGGCGCCGCCCCATTTTGGCACACCCCTCACACGCTTCGTGGCCCCATAGGGAGCTCCATCTAAGGTCCCAGTGGTGCAGTTCGCATGGCGACGCCGCCCCATGTTGGCACTCCTCTCACACGCTTCGTGGCCCCATAGGGAGGTCCACCTAAGGGCCCCATGGCGCAGTTTGCATGGCGGCGCCGCCCCCTTTCGTCACAACCCTCCCACGTTTCGTGGGCACGTATAAGGAGCTCCACCTAAGGTCCCATTGGCAAGCTGCGCATGGCGGCGCCGCCTCAGTTTGGCACTCCTCTCACACGTTTGGTGGCCCCATACGGAGCTTCACCTAAGGTCCCAGTGGCGCAGTTCGAATGGCGGCGCCGCCCCATTTCGGCACCCCTCTCACACGTTTCGTGGCCCCATAAGGAGCTCCACCGAAGGCGCCAGTGCCACCGCCCGCATGCGTCACCCACACCCATGTCGTCACACCCCTCCCACGTGTCGTGGCCCCATAAGGAGCTCCATCGAAGGCCCCGGTGCCACCGCCCGCATGCGTCACCCACGCACATTCCGGTACACCCCTCACGTGTTTCGTGGCCCCATAGGGAGCTCCACCGACGGCGCCAGTGGCTGCATTCACATGCGCCCACCGCACCCATTTCGGCGCACCCATCACCTTTCGCGGCCCCATAGGGAGGTACACCGACGGCCCCAGTGGCTGCGTTCGCATGCGCCCACCACACCTATTTCGGCACACCTCTCACGCGTTTCATAGCCCCTTAAAGAATTCGACCGACGGCCCCAAGGGCTGCTTTCGCATGCTCCCACCGGACAACTTTTGGCACAGCCCTCACACGTTTCGTGGCCCTGAAAGGGAACTCCTCCGAATGCGGAGCACACAACGACAGTACTCACAGCTGCATATGGTTGGGTCCTTCGCCAGGCTAATTCTTTTTCGTCGCAGCCGCAAGCGAAGGCGCATGCGGCGTCAGAGGTCGACCCGGGCAACGGGCGAAGCCTAATTGCCCAGCGGACACGCTCACGGCTGGTGGGGTTACGCGAAGCGTCTAGAATTCAAAATGCTAAGATCACGCCTGGCTGAATAGTGCCTTTGTGGCTTTGTTTCAGGGCGTTCGCGCTGGTCGGAAGAAGCAAGTGCCAACATACAATAAGAAGGCGTTTTAGCAAAGGTTGGGTGTCGGCCAGCGCCCGGCGAGATAGTGCTTCGAGCACACTGGGATGGGGTGGATCCACAGATACAGACCTTCAGCAATGCTGCACGGTTTCCCCCGGGGCCGTAGGCGACCCGAGGAGAAGGAGGAGGAGGAGGAGGTGGAGGAGGAGGAGGAGGAGGAGGAGGAGGAGGAGGAGGAGGAGGAGGAGGAGGAGGAGGAGGAGGAGGAGGAGGAAGGAGGAGGAGGAGGAGGAGGAGGAGGAGGAGGAGAGGAGGAGGAGGAGGAGGAGGAGGGACGAGGAGGGAGGAGGAGTAGGAGGAGGAGGAGGAGGAGGAGGAGGAGGGGGAGGGGGAGGAGGAGAAAGGAGGAGAAGGAGGAGAAGGAGGAGGAGGAGGAGGAGGAGGAGGAGGGGGAGGGGGAGGAGGAGGAGGAGCAGGAGGAGGAGGGGGAGGAGGACGAGGAGGATGAAGAGGGTTTCGCATGGGGATACCATGGGATACCGTGCATCGACAACATGTTGCACCACTTTTGCTGCGTATTGGCGCCTATACTGCATTTCTCGTTCCCGCCTTTCCCCCCGATCTTAATATTGGGTGCATGGCCAGAAGCGCTTGGGCCGCCCCGGGGCTCCCAACAAAATATTGCACCACCGAGCTGTTTCGACCAGCACGGACTGAACCCGATATTAAGATCGGGGGGGGAAACAAACGCTTATAAGATAACGGTGCGAATTATTGTCCGTGCCAGGTGGTGCAACATGTCGTTGATGTGCCGTACATAGGGAATCTCCGAGGGTTGGCGGGCCCCAAGGATGCATGTAGGGCGCCGCGGCCGTCCCAGAGCGTTCCAGAACGCCCTGGCAGCGTTCCAGAGCGCAGCCTCGCGCACTTTTTCTCGCAGAGCTCGGAGCTGCAGGGGTGTCTCAGGCGAAACGAGCTCGACCACCTTTCGCGCAGCATCTCAGGATGTCTCGAGCGAAAGGCGCCAGACCACCTCTCGCGCGGCAGCTCGGAGCTTAGAGTTTCGAGGATGTCTCAAGCGAAAGGCGTTGGACCACCTCGCGCGCGGCACATCTGAGCCGCCCGAGTCCTGCCTGAATGAAAAGCTGGTCTCTCAACCATCCGCCACTGGACCTGAGACTCCAGACAGAAGCCCAACCTTCGGCGGGTGTGGTGCTAACCTCTTGAATCGACGTGGAGGTAGGCCAGGGACAGGGCATCGTCCCGGTCCATGCCCATTTTTTTCATCATGCGAGCCGCCCACGGATTGACTTCGTGGACGCTATCGCTCAACGGTAGCCAACCGCGGCCGTCCAGCAGCTTTGCATGCGCTGATCCTGGTCGGCGACTCCGAAGGGTGTGTTTTGCAAAGGGTGTGGTCTGCAACCGACACCCTGTGGGACAGGTGGGGATCTCGATAGAGCTCTCCGCCGCGCCCCGAGGAGGCCCGACGAGGACAGTGTGGTGCCCCCTAGGCCCCAGCGGTGCCGATCGCAAACCACACCCCGGCGTAACCACACCCATTGCACTCGCCGACCTGGGGGGACCTGCGCAGCGACAACGAAACCAGGCATGAGCGTGTCGACGGGCTCCCCGTCTGGGCAGTCTAAGATGGGTACGCCGCTGGCATCGCCCACGCCGTAATATTTTGTCTCGCTCGAGTCGTCCTGTCTGAGAAGGACAATTATCGTGTTGGGAGGAAGAGGTTGGGAAGATACAGGGCGCGACTGTGTGATAAGCCCACCCAACATACGCGACAGTACGGACGATCTGACCACTCCTCCCAACCCCATCTTCCCAACCCGATAATTGTCTTTCTGGCTGTCGGGGAATACAAAGGCTTTCGTGCCCAGCCTGAGCGGGGGGGGGGCCTGGGGCTAGGTCGGGCATTTCCCCCTACAGGCAAATTTTGGAAAACAAATAAAAATAGTCAAACAATGCTGAAAAATAGTCAGAAGAGCCGGAAAAATCGTCACCTAACTAATTATTTCTTTTACCATTCTTGAATATTCCTCCTGTAGAGGGACATGCCCGACTTAAGCCTGGGGGTGGGGCTCTTGCCGTGCTACCCGAAGCTTGTCGACAAAATCGGTCAGCGTGAGACGGCCCCACCCTTGGATCCTCCCGGGGATGTGGGAGGGACGATCTGGTCTGGGACGCACAAGGACATACTAGCACTATGCGCCCTCCTCGGAGACGTGCGTCCAGCCCGAACATATATCGTTTCCCGAGCGGTACGGTCAGAAGGCGCCCGCCACGACGCATCTACCATAAGATTTCTCGGCGCACGGGTCGCCCCTGGGGGTGGCGACGCACACGTAGTATTAGGTCGGGCCTGTCCCCCTACAAGGGGGATCTTGGACAAAAACAAACAATAGTAAACAAATGCCCGAACATGCTCAAAAATAGTTGAAAAATCGTTCCCGTAAAATTTCTGGATTATCTTTGAATTTCCTCCCTGTAGGGGGACACGCCCGACTTAAACATAGTATTAGTACGTTGGGGTGGCGCCGATGGGCCGCGAGGGCGCTCCTCCTGGACGACGAGGGCGCTCTCCTCGGGCGTGAAGCTCGAGTCGATGGTGTAGCCCAGGTCCTCCTCGCCCTCGCGGGAGAAGAAAGGATGGCACAAGCAGAGACTTGCTGGCGCTCCGCGCAGATTTCTTGGATCTGCGCTGGACCACCCTCCCTGGCGCGCGGAGCGCGCCAGGGGCGGCGCCGGAGGCGCCGACAGGGGGCCCCAGCGCGGATCCAAGACGTCCGCGTGGAGCGCCAGCAAGTTTCTGCTGATGCGTTCTCTCTTCCTTCGACCTCGAGCTCCGCGATGCCGCCGCCCAGGCTGGCCTCTTCGACGCCGGGGCCAGGGCCGGTCTCTGCAGCGAGCGGTGCCCCCCTCGTCCGTGGCACACGGGCGCCCCCTCGCGAGGGACCGGACATGCGGACAACAAGCTCGCACCCTGCGGGGCGAGAGACCCCCCCGGACCGCCAAGATTAATTTTGAGGGTGCGGCAGTCCCTGAGATCCTGGCGCTGCAATTTTTTCCCACTGGGCGTTGTCGTTCGATTCCGGGCCCCAGGACCCTCACAGATCGATCCAGCTCGAAAAATGACGCAGAAAGAGGGGGTCCGGGGGTCTGGGCGTGATTTTTTCCGATGTTGCAATTTTTCGCAACGTCGGATCTCAGGGATGGAGAGGGCATGGGTGGACAGACATATTCAAACCCCCGAACAACCATCCATGCCAAAATCAAATAAAATCAGCACTGATTTCGGGGGCTGGGGGGTGATGAACATCCCCCTCAAGTGTGTGAGGGCTCGAATGCTCTGAGACCCGACGCTGCAACAAGAAATGCAACATCGCAACAAATCGCGATTGGAGTCCTGGACCCCATCCTTCTGCGCCACTTTTCGAGTCGCATCGATCTGTGAGGGTCCTGGGGCCCGACATCAAACGACAACGCCCGTTGGGAAAAAAATGCAGCGCCAGGATCTCAGGTATGTGTCAGGGTTCGAATATTTCGTCCATCTGCTGGAAGTCGTCTTGGCCGCGCCCTGGCGAAGGCCGCGTTTGCGGGGCGCCGGGGAGGCTGGCCCCAGAGATGCGGCCGCTGCCGGGGCAGCCTGCGGGCGCGCAGCGCCCCTGCACGCAGGCTGCGGCCAACACGACCACCCTGGCCTGAATCCTACCACCAGGGGAGGGAATCGGGCGTGCATGACAGCCACATCTCGGCGGCGAACGAGGTGGGAAAAGAGAAGAACAAGGCCCCCTCAGAAGGCGCCAGGACTTCAGAAACCGTTGTGCCTCCTGAGAGATTCTCCCAACCATCCTGTGGTGTTGGGTCCTTGTTTTGAAGAGACAGCGCCCCGCGTTCTTTCCTCCCGCTGCCCCCCCTCCCTCTCTCCATTAGCAGCATCATCGTCACTATGATCACCATCGCCCATCATCCATCAGCATCATCATCTGCAACAGCATCCTCATCCACATCCTGCTCCTCATCATCGTCATCATCATCTGCATCGTCCCCACCACCCATGTCGGCACACCCCTCACACGCTTCGTGGCCTCATTGGGAGCTCCAACGAAGGTCCCAGTGGCGCGGTTCGCATGGCGGCCCTGCCCCATTGTGGCACACCCCTCACATCTTTCGTGGCCCCGTAGGGAGCTCCAACTGAGGTCCCAATGGCGCAGCTCGCATGGCGGCGCCGCCCCATCTTGGCACACCTCTCACACGTTTCGTGGCCCCATAGGATCCTCCAGCTAAGGTCCCATTGGCGCAGCCGTGCGAAAGCTCCAACTGAGGTCCCAATGGCGCAGCTCGCATGGCGGCGCCGCCCCATCTTGGCACACCCCTCGCACGCTTCGTGGCCCCACAGGGAGCTCCACCGAAGGCGCCAGTGGCGCAACTTGCATGGCGGCGCCGCCCCATCTTGGTACACCCCTCACACGCTTCGCGGCCCCATTGGGAGTTCCAGGCAAGGTCCCAGTGGCGCAGCTCGCACGGCGGCGCCGCCCCATGTGGGCAAACCCCTTACACGCTTCGTGGCCTCATTGGGAGGTCCAACTAAGGTCCCAATGGCGCAGTTCGCATGGCGGCGCCGCCCCATTGTGGAGCACCCCTCGCACGTTTCGTGGCCCATAGGGAACTCATCCTAATGCCCCACTGGCTCATCTCGCATGGCGGCGCCGCCCAATTTTGGCACATCCTTTACGCGCTGCGTGGCCCCATAGGGAGCTCCAGCTGAGGTCCCAGTGACGCAGCTCGCATGGCGGCGCCGCTCCATTTTGACACACCACTCACACGCTTCGTGGCTCAATAGGGAGCTCCAACTAAGGTCCCAGTGGCGCGATCCGCATGGCCCCGCCGCCTTATTTCTCTCGGTCCCGTGGGCTCTCGCCCTGGGCCGTCGGCTGTCCGTTGTGCTGCCCCCTCGGCCGACATCGCCCAAACGCGATCCTGGACTGCGGCCGCCACGAGGTCGGGAACTGCAAGAAGGAGGACGACGACTGGTGGCTGGAGCTCTACGCGCTGCTCTCGCGCGCCACGCGCCACGAGGACCTCCTGCTCGCGCGGGCGCCGCGCATCGAGTTCTTCCTGACAAGGCCGCCGGAAGGCTTGCGGAAGCAGCTGGAGCAGTTTGCTGCGCGCACGAAGCGGCGCAGAAGGGAGGCGACGGCCCTCGCCAAGGAGCTCGGCTTCACTGAGTTTATCCGCGAGGCTTGACCTGAGGAGCGATCCGCCCGAGCCTCGCCGTCCCTCGACGGTCAGACTGTTTGGCCTCGCGTCGCTGGGACCCTCTCGGGGCGACCAGCGCGCGTCGCGGGAACTCCATGCTGCGCTCTGCCTGGCGCCTCGCTCGCCCCGGTCGTCGCTCTGCCCAGCGGCCAGAGACTTGCCCGCTATCAGCCGGCCTGCTAGCTCTCTCTGCTCCGCGCAGTGGGCGACCCGCGCGCGTCGCCGGGACCCCTTCGGGGCGACCAGCGCGCGTCGCGGGAACTCCGTGCGGCGCCGCGCCCGCAGCCTTGGACATGGGCGCGCGCGGGCAAAGAGGGAGAAAAAGAACGGGGAGGAAGCGGGCGCGGTCCTCGTGAAGGGCGTGCCGACATGGAGGTGGACATTTATGCACGTAGACTCACGCGCGCGCGCGGACTCATTCACAATCAGACTCACTCGCGCTCACATTGACCCGCTCTCAGTCTCTTGCACACAGACCTATCGTCTTCGCTCGCGTTGTGTACCCCGCCACGCATTTCGGCACGTCCCTCACACGGTCCGTGGCCCCATAGGGAGCGCGGGCGAAGATGATAGTTATAATTTCGGTATTCGCAACTGCGTATGATTGGGTCATTTGCCAGGATACTTTTCTCTTTTCTAGGGAAGGCTTTGGAATTTGTCCCAACCAGCCTGCGGTGTTGGGTTCTCGTTTTGAAAAGACAGCGCCGCGCGCGTCCCTCCTCCTCCTCCTCCTCCTCCTCCTCCTCCTCCTTCTCCACCTCTCCTCCTCCCATTTCTTCATCACTCCTCGCATCATCATCATTATCATCATCGTCATCGTGATCGTCGTCATCATCATCAATACTAGCCGGCCGCTCTGCGGTTGATCGGGAGTTTCTGTATATAGAAGAAGGTGCGTGCGCTTGTTGGCGAGGGTGAGGATGAGGTTCCTCCTCCTCCTCCTCCTCCTCCTCCTCCTCCTCCTCCATCCTTCTCTTGCCTCCGTCTGTCCTCCTCCACCCCGCAGCTCCATCATCTTCTCCTCCTCCTCCCTCCTCCCTCCTCCTCCTCCTCCTCCTCCTCCTCCTCATTCCTCCTCTGGGCACCTCCCCCGGGGCGCGGATCCACCGGATCTGTCCGGATCTGTCCGGAAACGGTGCCGGAGGCCGCTCTGGGCTCCTCTGGGCACCTCCCCCGGGGCCGGTTTTGTGAGGATGTCTCAAGCGAGGGCGCCGGTTTGGGATTCGTCCCCGGATCCAGCGGATCCGTCCGGATCCGTCCGGAAACGGTGCCGGAGGCCGCTCTGGGCTCCTGTGGGCACCTCCCCCGGGGCCGGTTTTGCGGGGATGTCTCAGGCGAGGGCGCCGGTTTGGGATTCGCCCCCGGATCCAGCGGATCCGTCCGGATCCGTCCGGAAACGGTGCCGGAAGCCGCTCTGGGCTTCTCTGGCCACCTCCCCCGGGGCCGGATTTGCGGGGATGTCTCAGGCGAGGGCGCCGGTTTGGGATTCGTCCCCGGATCCAGCGGATCCGTCCGGATCCGTCCGGAAACGGTGCCGGAGGCCGCTCTGGGCTCCTCTGGGCACCTCCCCCGGGGCCGGTTTTGTGAGGATGTCTCAAGCGAGGGCGCCGGTTTGGGATTCGTCACCGGATCCGGATCCGCGGATCCGTCCGGAAACGGTGCCGGAGGCCGCTCTGGGCTCCTCTGGGCACCTCCCCCGGGGCCGGTTTTCCGGGGATGTCTGAGGCGAGGGCGCCGGTTTGGGATTCGTCCCCGGATCCAGCGGATCCGTCCGGATCCGTCCGGAAACGGTGCCGGAGGCCGCTCTGGGCTCCTCTGGGCACCTCCCCCGGGGCCGGTTTTGCGGGGATGTCTCAGGCGAGGGCGCCGGTTTGGGATTCGTCCCCGGATCCAGCGGATCCGTCCGGATCCGTCCGGAAACGGTGCCAGAGGCCGCTCTGGGCTCCTCTGGGCACCTCCCCCGGGGCCGGTTTTGCGGGGATGTCTCAGGCGAGGGCGCCGGTTTGGGATTCGTCCCCGGATCCAGCGGATCCGTCCGGATCCGTCCGGAAACGGTGCCGGAGGCCGCTCTGGACTCGTGCTCTTCGCGCCGGGGGTGAGGATGACGTGAGTTCCACAGAAACTCCCTCATCAATCATGGCCGTCATCATCATCATCATCATCATCATCATCATCATCATCATCATCATCATCATCATCATCATCATCATCATCATCATCATCATCATCATCATCATCATCATCATCATCATCATCGTCATCGTCATCGTCATCGTCATCGTCATCGTCATCATCACCATCATCGTCATCATCACCATCATCGTCTTTGTCGCATCCCTCACACGTTTCGTGGCCCCATATGGAGCTCCAACCAAAGTCCCAGTGGCGCAGTCCGCATGGCGGCGCCGCTCCATCTTGGCACACACACACACACACACACACACCTCGCACGTTTCGTGGCCCCATAGGGTGCTCCAACTAAGGTCCCAGTGGCGCAGTCCGCATGGCGGCGCCGCCCCATCTTGGCACACCTCTCACACGCTTCGTGGCCCCATAGGGAGCTCCACCTAAGGTCCCAGGGAGCTCCACCCAAGGTCTCAGTGGCGCAGTCCGCATGGCGGCGCCGCCCAATTTTGGCACACCCCTCACACGTTTCGTGGCCCCATAAGGAGCTCCAACTAAAGTCCCAGTGGCGCAGTCCGCATGGCGGCGCCGCCCCATTTTGGCACACCCCTCACACATTTCGTGGTCCCATAAGGAGCTCCACCTAAGGTCCCAGTGGCGCAGTCCGCATAGGCCTACCACGAAATTTTCTCAGGGCCAAAACATGTTCTAATAATTAAACAATGTTCTCATAACAGATGTCCAATGTGTTAAAGCAAGACAGTCTCAACCAACAATGTTCTATAAGAACATTTCGTGCAGACCACAACAGGTTCTTATAACATTCTTTGGTAGGCCAATCGGCGAGCCGGGACGCTTCGCCACTGCTTGATTTCCTCACCCCCACACGTATCGCCCCCAATTGCAAGACACCCGAGAGAAATGGTCCACTGGCGGCCGAGCCGTTGTGAGCGCAGTCGTGGCTATTCCATGCAAGACCTTCTGGCGGGGCGATGGGTCATCCGAGAAGGACTCCAGAGTCTCGTGGCCCAAGGGCTGTCAACACTGCAGCAGCCTTAGGCCACGCGCGCAAGCCTGATGGGACGCGGAACGGGCTCCGTGCAGACATGGCCAGGCAAACCACACGTCCGAGCAGGAAGGCTGGGGGCACATCCTCGAGCCAGCACGGATACAGCTGGACCTGGGACAGAAGAACCTCCTGTCCAAAAACGCGAGGCCCTCCGCCGGCCAAAACGCACAGACCATACCAGGGTACCCTCCCCCAAGATACACAAGAGCATCCAGCAAGCACGGAGAACATCAGGGCACCCTCCCCGAACCGACCTCGATCTTATGATGTCCCGGTCCGACGGCAGCCCTCTCGGTGGCCACAGACCCGCACCCTGTGGGAGGGCGGCTTCGCGCCCGCGAAGCGCCGGCTGCCCTCCATCCGCACGAAGCTCTCTCTCTCTCTCTCTCTCTCTCCCCCTCGCTTCGCCCGAGGCCGACCTGCGGCCACTGCCGCCGCCCCGCCCGCCGCAAGGCTGCGGCCGCCCGACGCGGGCGGCGGCAGCAGCGCGGGGCCCGCCGCCAGCGCCGCGGCCACCACGGCGGCCGCGGCCAGGGCGCGCGCGGCCGCGCACCGCTGCCCTGCGCGCGCCGCCGCCGGGCCGCGGCCTCGGCCTGGCCAGGGGGCCACGGGCACGGCGCAGCCGCGGGGGGCAGAGCGAGGAGGCCCCCCGGAGAGGAGGCGCGGGGCCGGCGCCTGGCGGGGCGGCTGGAGACGGTCGGCACAGGCCAGTCCTCGCCGCGAGCCGTCCGGCGGACTCCAGGGGTGGCTCGAGACAGCTCGAGATGGCTCAGGAGATCGTCTGGCATACATCCAAGAGGCCCCAGCACAGCTCCAAGGCGGTTCTAAGGGCGCACCGAGCCGTCTGCGGACCCCCGCCCCCAAGAGGCCCAAATCCTTCAAACACCTAGGGAAAAGCAATGTTGCTTGCCTTCTCGTCTTTCGCTTCTGATGGGCTTTTTTGAATCCTCAAGATGGCCTCGAGACGGCGCACGAGAGCCCCAGGAGGGGCCCAAGAGGACCTACGAGCGCTCCAAGGGCGCCCCAAGAGGGCCCAAGACGCCCTTGCTGAGCCTCCCATGTGGGGGACCTGAACTGAGGACCCCCCCTGCTTGTTGAGCTATCGGGCCCAAGATCAGCACGAGAGGCCTCCAGAACGCCTGCCTGGTAATTTCGCAAGGTCTTCTGAGGTCTTCGCGGGGGCCCCCGCCCTGCACAGACCCTGCAAAGAGGGAGCCTTTCTTTTACTGGTTGTGGAGTCTTGAGCCACACTGTTCAAAAAACAAAAAAGCAAGTGTTCTACAATTCCCTGGTTCGGGCAGCTCGCCTGGCAGCCGCTACTAGCGGTCCTGGACGCAGCACAAACCAAGTGCCCGAGAATCCTTTAAGCCGAAGAGAAATGCAACATCACCCCAAAGCACATCGCAGAACAACCAAATAAAGCCGGGGCGGCAGGGGAATATGTGTTATATTAGCCAACGCATGTTCCCACAGTTCTCTGCGCCTCTAATACACTTCATGGCAATTGTGTCTGGATGGGCTGGTGGGGGTACGCGAAACGTCGCGGGCTTTTTGTGTAACCTTCACATTCTCGTCGCATCGGTCGCAAGATCGCCCCAAACGGCCCAGGAACCACCCAAGATGGCCCACGAGGTCCCCAAACGGGGCCCAAGATGCCCCCCAAACTGCCCCAACAAGGCCCCAAAAGCACGCCACCGTCGCACCGCTGGAAGCCAACCCTTCCAACATGACCCCACGACCCCCAAGAGGCCCACAAAATGCTCCAAAAGGCTTCAAAACGCACCCAAATTCGCGACGAAGGTCCCGAAAAGCTCGACTCGGTTTCCGGATATTCTCGCGTTTTTTGCATGTTTTCACGATTTCTTAAGGAAGAGAGAGGGAGCTATATATGAGGAGGGGGGGGTGAGATCGAAATGGAACGGAGCGCCCCCCACCGGGAAATCGGTTTTGGTTTCGTGTTCGTGTCGTGCGCGCGGGCGAGGCGAAGCTGCGTGCGCGGGCGAAAAAAATTAATTCTGCTGTCGCTAGTGGTTCGCCAACATAAATGTTTCCCCCGCCGGCGCGTGTCAAGCGGTGGCCCGCATTGTCCCGTCGGTTGCCCGCCGTTGTCTTGTCTGTCGCTAGTGGTTCGCCAACATAAATGTTTCCCACGCCGGCGCGTGTCAAGCGGTGGCCCGCATTGTCCCGTCGGTTGCCCGCCGTGGTCCTGTCTGTCGCTAGTGGTTCGCCAACATAAATGTTTCCCCCGCCGGCGCGTGTCAAGCGGTGGCCCGCATTGTCCCATCGGTTGCACGCCGTGGTCCTGTCTGTCGCTAGTGGTTCGCCAACATAAATGTTTCCCCCGCCGGCGCGTGTCAAGGGGTATCCCGCATTGTCCCGTCGGTCGCCCGCCGTTGTCTTGTCTGTCGCTAGTGGTTCGCCAACATAAATGTTTCCCCCGCCGGCGCGTGTCAAGCGGTAGCCCGCATTGTCCCGTCGGTCGCCCGCCGTTGTCTTGTCGTGAGATCGATAGTGAGATCGATAGTGAGATCGATCGTGAAATTGATAGTGACACCGAAAGTGAGATCGATAGTGAGATCGATAGTGAGATCGATCGTGAAATTGATAGTGGCACCGAAAGTGAGATCGATTGTGACATCGAATGTGAGATCGATAGTGGGATCGATCGTGAAATCGCTTGTGAGATCGATTGTGAGATCGATAGTTAGATCGATTGTGAGATCGATTGTGAGCTGTCGCGTGACTCCCAAGGCAGGATAGGAGAGGTCCGGACGCACGCACCAGGCCCTGCCAGTGCACGCATCGTCGACTGGACCGTCGTGGGGTGAGTGCCGCGTCGCGCAGCGGCAAACCGAATGCCCAAAACGCCCAAGCGAAAGAACAAAAAAAAACGCCACGTCATCCACACCATCATTGGCCATCAGCACCACATTCACCACACTTGTCGTCATGAGCCCCCCCCTCCCACCCCCCACCCCACAACCTCCTTATCACCCGCAGGGTGGTCGTATAGGTATATATATATATATATATATAGAAAGAGAGAGGGAGAGAGAAAGAGAGAGAGAGAGAGAAAGAAAGAAATAAAGAAATAAAAAGAAAGAAAGAAAGACAGAGAGGAAGTGAGAGCAACCACTCAAACCATTTCCGTTTCCTCCTCTGCGCGTGTGCGTGGAGGGTCTGAGGGTAACCGCTCGCTCCCTCCCGTTGCCCACTCTGTGTTGCGTGTGAGTGTGTGTGGGAGAAGTGAAAGAGAGGGAGAGACAGAGAGGAAGAGAGAGAGAGAGAGAGACAGAGAGAGAGAGAGCAACCACTGCCCCCACCATTAAACCCCATTCATGTTGGGCGCGCAGAGCGCGAGAGGACAACCCGTACCCCCTCCCACTTCCCCTTAGTGTCGTGGGTGGGAGTGCAGACAATTCAGGAGGAAGCGGCTGCTCGCTTACACTCGCACACACAAACACAAAGCTAAGGGGAAGTGGGAAAGGGTATCGGTTGCCCTATCGAGCTCCGCGCGCTCAAAATTGATGGGAAGAAGAAGTGGGGATAATGGTTTTAATATCTCCCTCTCTTTCTCACTAAGTACCGGTCACTTCATGTATCGATGTATCAATCGAGAAATCTGTGCATAACACAAACATGCACATCTCTCTGTATATATATATGACGTCATAGATATATATATACAAATGTGGTCATACACACATGCGTATCAATGCGGACAACGAGCTATGCGTACGCATACATCCACCATCATATACCATATATGTATGGCTGAAGCTGTATGTATATATATATGTATAGATACACACGGTCACCTACATATCGGCCCATCCGTCTATATGTCCTCACATATATACCCATAAAAGGCACACATAAGGAACCAACTATACAAACATATCGATCATTACGTCAAAATAAAACAAATGTGCATGCATTGCTACACAAACCTAAAAGTTACAGACATACATGAATATGTCCTCTTGCCTATTATCTAACAACATCTTTCTCTGTCCCTAAATCGATATATGTATACGTTTCGGGTTTTACTAATGCACACAACCAGGAACAACTGGTACATCACCCACAAAAAGGAATTGGACGGCAAAGCGCACACACGGATTTTAGTTGTAATGCGAGCAAGAAGCCGAAGAATCCCACATGAAGGGGAACCTATTGCAGAGTCGCGCAAACGAGTTTTACTTTTACCCCCGGGCGCTCGGGATCAATATGCAAACCACCCACAAAAGGAGATATTGCAAAGCCCAGCAACAAAAAAAATGGAGTTCACACAAGTGGATTCAATATGCAAGCCCGTCACACAAGGAATTCCATTGTACAAACGCACCGACGGATTGCACTTGAAACCGCACCACAATAATCAATGTGTAAATCGCCCACGCAACGGTACATAATTCATTGTATAGCCCCAGGAAACATCGTTTGCAATCTACACAATTATAATCAATGTGTAAACCGGCCACAGAACGAACCCGGTTGCATAGCCATGCGAAAATATTACGTATGTCAAATCTGCACAAATAAGACCACGCTTGAAAATGACCCGCAACAAAACATGTCCTCTGAAAGGGAGCCAGATAAATTCGGGAGGAGGCCACAAAAACATACAAACTTATCTTGGCGAAGGACCACACATATGCAGCTGTGAATACAATCGTTGTGGATATCGCCTTCCGTGGATATTTTTTGGGGGCCACGACGCGTGTGAAGGATGTGCCGAAATGGGGCGGGGCCGCCATGTGGGCGCGATCGGGTGCGGGTACGCCATGTGGACTGTGCCGCTGGGGCCTTCGGTGGATGGGGCCACGAAACGTGCGAGGGTTTGCGCCGAGTCGGGTGCGGGTACGCCATGCGGACTGTGCCGCTGGGGCCTAAGGTGGAGACCCCTTCTGGGGCCACGAAGCGTGCGAGCGGTGTCCCAACTTGGGTGCGGGTACGCCAGGCGGACTGTGCCACTCGGGCCTTCGGTGGAGCTCCCTACGGGGTCACGAAGCGCGTGAGGGGTGTGCCAACTTGGGTGCGGGTACGCTATGCGGACTGTGCCGCTGGGGCCTTCGGTGGAGCTCCATACGGGACCACGGAACGTGTGAGGGGTGTGCCGAATCGGGTGCGGGTACGCCATGCGGACTGTGCCTCTGGCGCGTTCGGTGGAGCTTTTATGGGGCCACGAACCGTGTGAGGGGTCTGCCGAATCGGGTGTGGGTACGCCATGCGGGCTGTTCCAATAGGACCTTCGGTGGAGCTTTTATGGGGCCACGAACCGTGTGAGGGGTGTGCCGAATCGGGTGCGGGTGGGCCATGCAGACTGTGCCGCTGGAGCCTTAGGTGGACGTCCTTATGGGGCCACGAAACGTGTGATGGGTGTGCCGGATGGGGTGCCGGTGCGCCAGGCGGACTGTTCCGCTGTGGCCTAAGGTGGAGCTCCCTATGGAGCCACGAAGCGTTTCAGGGGTGTGCCGAAACAGAAACACGCGGAGGGCAGAGGCAAGG